TTTTGGTACAGAGAGTTAAAGGTAAATACAACGATGTTTACTTTGACAATTCATGTTCTCATACAGAAGAAGACTAGAGAATAAATACAGAAAGCAAACATGTTGAGAAATTTATATGATAATATGTGTAATAAATTGATAATTAATTCAAATACTTTAAATATGAGGAATAATTAAACAAAAATATATTTCGAGAAGCCACACAAAGAAGTATAGTATATGATTTATATTCAATCTGTTGTTATGTTAATTTGATATTTATTATATTTAAATAATGTAGTAGAAATGTGAACAAGTGAGCAAATACATTATGTTCAACTCGCATTTATTAATGAAGTTTCTTGAAATTTAATTTAATTATCATCTTGTCCTATATATAGACAAATATAGTCCGGAAACGTTAATTTAGTTAATTTAAATAGAACTGTCGACTGATTTAACATATAGCCACATACAGCTAATTACTTTGTAGAATTAAAACCTGAGACACTTAACTAGGTAATTCAACAAAATTAAACAATTAATGTCCATGCTTAAGATTTAATGATTTAATTGAACCGAATTAATTTTTATTGCGTCGTGTACCAAAAGTAGCAGCAATGTATGTTGATACCTGATTTAAAAACAAAAATATTTTTTATTAAATGTACTATCAATGCAAGTTCATACAAAAAATGCATCGTTAAAATCTAAATTTAAAACAAAGAGTACGTACATGGTACGAAAATTAATCCAAAAATTAATTACAAACAGCATGCGCGCATCAAAGGTTCAAAGGGATCTGATCAATACGCTGAAATAGACGTTTCACATTTCTTTATAAAAGTTTTATAACCAACGTATTGATTTTCTTGTATGTTATCCTAGATGCCATAGAATTTCCAGTACAATGTATTAGTAGAATCTTGTTAAACTTGAGTTTTATATAAAGGTTACATAATTTGATACAGAATCATAATTAATGGTAGAAAAAATATGATTGTATCAATCATAGATATTACATATTCAAGCCAAAAATGCAACCCAAGTTATAAATTTGGTTAGTATCAAGAACAACCAAATACTTACCGAATTCCCAGAGTTTCTAATAAAATATTCTAATGTTAACTGATCTTGTAATCCGTAAACTTTGATGATATTAGCATATTTTCAACATAGTGATACCATTATATCACAACTTAAAAGACCATTCGAAGAAATATTCTTAAATTCAATATTTTTATTATCAGCTGTTTTTCTATTGGATCAGCTTCCAAATCAAACGTGATAAAAATTCAAAGATGCCAAAATAAATTACTTAAAAATTTTTTGAATGCTCCAAAATATGTACTGCATATATAAAGATGACAAACACAATAAAAGATAAATTACGAACATATTCAGATAATTACAAAAGCAGTCTCGAGGATCATCCAAACCCCACTTGCTTAAGAACTGGGCCTCAACATTACCAGGGTAAGATTGAAAAAGAAGTTCAACAATGGTTAGAAGTTTTTGAATTTTTAAAGACATTTTTTCTACAGTTTTGGTTGTTGCCCAAAGATGTAAAAAAGTTTATTATAAAATATTAGAAACGTGCAAGTGGTAACAGTGAATTTAATGCTGAAACGGTAAAATGAAAACGATCATTTGTACGAGTGCAAATGATAAAAGTTTCATTGCTCATCATATAACTGATAATCTCCTATCGAATAGAGCACTTGTAGCATTTTTCGATAAAATTACAATCGTTCAACTATAATTTTAGCAACTGATTACAAATGTTTGAACTCACGTTCGATCGAACTGAAAATAAAGCGAAAAAGTAGTAGTAGTAGAAAAAGTAGTTACCTTCCGACCAGGAGTCCTAGGAATAATAATTAAGCAAGGAAATTACATTTTATATTCTATTTCCATGCAGTCAGAAAGCGTTGTGAAGAAAGAAAACTCAGATATACTGATAATCTCCTATCGAATAAAGCACTTGTAGCATTTCTCGATAAAATTACAATCGTTCAACTATAATTTTAGCAACTGATTACAAATGTTTGAACTCACGTTCGATCGAACTGAAAATAAAGCGAAAAAGTAGTAGTAGTAGAAAAAGTAGTTACCTTCCGACCAGGAGTCCTAGGAATAATAATTAAGCAAGGAAATTACATTTTATATTCTATTTCCATGCAGTCAGAAAGCGTTGTGAAGAAAGAAAACTCAGATATACTGATAATCTCCTATCGAATAAAGCACTTGTAGCATTTCTCGATAAAATTACAATCGTTCAACTATAATTTTAGCAACTGATTACAAATGTTTGAACTCACGTTCGATCGAACTGAAAATAAAGCGAAAAAGTAGTAGTAGTAGAAAAAGTAGTTACCTTCCGACCAGGAGTCCTAGGAATAATAATTAAGCAAGGAAATTACATTTTATATTCTATTTCCATGCAGTCAGAAAGCGTTGTAAAGAAAGAAAACTCAGATATATCGTTTCCATTCAGCGCCCGACGCGAGCGTTTTGTTCGCGTTGGTTTGTTTGGAATCAGAGCCGTGGCGGCACACAATCGTCGTCAACTGCAATATCATGCAATCCGTTTTTCTGAACAATTGTTATGTGCATAAGAATGTTTGCGTGTGAATGATTGATTCATGCAAACTGAAGCTTGATAATTGGAACATTAGTCCGTTTAATTTTGCGCAATTATAGGGTTTAACCGATAACTCAAAGGACGAGCACAATTAAAAATAATTGGATAACTAAATGCGATGGAAACTAGTCCCACGCCAGTGTAATAAGAAAACTCTAATCTTTAGCAATAATAATTCTCACAGTTTATTCTAAACCAGTGATTTCCAAAGTGGTCTACACGTACCCCCAGGAGGTGATAACAAAAAAAAAAATCGGGGCCCACGAAACGAAAATGGGGGTCAACGGTAGTGGATCACTCTATTTATTTATTTTATACTTTCTACAATAAAATATCAAATGCGAGATGTACAATAAAAAATCAAATGCAATATTTAGAAATAGAACTAAAAAGTAAATAAAAATTCATATTTTTATAAAAATGTGTATGTTGTAGCACAAGTAGGCATTAGATTTAAGGTTGCAATTTGGTTGAACTTGTAAAGATCCTATTTGCTGATAATTGAGGATTGGCAATATTTTGTGCCAACTTTTTATCCCAGGTAAAAAACGATTTAATAGTTGTAAAATAGTGATCTCTTGTCCTAAGAAAAAAACATATAGACTGAACATCTTTAGCTATAATATGAAACCTTATAAAATTGTTGCCAAATGTTGATAATTAAACATTTACTTTTTGCTTACTTTATTATTCTTTTATTAATTTTATTTCAATTGATAAATGTACATAGTAATATACATTTTTACTTTTGATATTTAATAATAAGTTATAATTTCATGAAAAAAAAATCATATGGGGTAAATCGGTGGGTGGGGGGTGGTGTATCTGGTTCATGGAAAAGCTCAAGACTTGCAGCTTTTTGGCTAATTATTTAAAAAATCGCAAACCTCAAAGTATGTAGTTAGAATCTACGAATGTAGGAAAATATAAGAGAATTATAGCTTATAATTTAATATAAAATTAATAAGATTATACGACTTATGACATCAAACGAGCTTCGATGTCAGTGAACTCATTGTCATCTAATGCGTGATGCATGACATATTTTGAGGATTAGATGTAATAGCATTATCTATGGTATAATTATTAATTAATGTATTATATGTATTTATGTTTATATACACATATAATTAAATACATCTGAATGCGAGCGGCGAGCTTATCGATCAACGGGAAATCTATCAAGATATATTTTGCTACTATGACAATGTTATGGTAGAAAAATCAAAATATATGGGCAAAAAGAACACAAAATAAATTCCGTATAGAGCTCATTTTTTTACTATTAATCTAAATAAAACTCATCATATCCAGACGTCCAATAACCGAATTGGCATTCGATTTAGACATCCTAGATAGGGTTGGGCGGGGCTAGTTGAGCAAATTTTTATTTAAACGGATGTAGCTCCTCAATGAAAAGTCTCAATAAATTGCTATACGGCTCAATGGATTTGTTGTTTATCGCTTAACAAAAGTGTTAATACTATTTTTTCAAGTCAAGTATGCTCAATGTACCCCATAGGTGGGGCAAGTTGAGCACTAAGAAAGTATAATGAAATCATAGGTTCAATGTCGATTAGTGATGAAATAAAATAACTTTTCAATAACCAGTTCTATATTTATAGTCTTTATTGACAGAGAAAACAAAACTTATAATAATTTGCTTTGAATAACTAACGAAAAGTAGAATCAACAAAACAATATCGTATCTTAGAAATTATTTTACCATTATATTCAGTATTTTTGTTTAAAATCATTATTTCTTTATATTATTACTCATAGTGTTAGCTTAAATATTAAAAATAATAATTAATTTCTGGTTAATGGTAGGAAGTTAATGGTAATTGTCTTAGTGACAGAACAAGTTTAGCCACTATGCTCAACTAACCCCAACTCGGAATTTCACAATAAAAGTGAGTTTATAAAAAACCGTGAGAATTATACCCAGAATCCCTGTGCATATTAAAAGTACTATAAATATATGGAAGAATGCCATTTACCTGATTAAAAATAAATAACATTTGACTAAACCAGACGAAAACTCGTGATGAATTACTTTTTTACTTTTTGGTCTCAAAATAAACAAAACGCTCGTGAGCCTCACTCATTTGTCCAGCGGCCACTAGCGATCGCGGGATGTTTATTTCTCCCAAACCCCTATCTTTCCGCCATATAATGCCTAAACGGGCGGTGAATAGTTTTCGAGATATTTCGATTGCTCAACTTGCCCCTATGCTCAACTAGCCCCGCCCTACCCTACTACCAAAAATTTGCTGATGTTCCCCAAAAGAATAGTCGCAAGAGATTAAAACAATGAAATAAAACTTATATCGGTACATATACGAAACAGTTGATTCTAGATAGTCTTATCTCTTACCTCTAGATCTAAATCCCGAACTAAATGCCTCCCAAACGACGTGCCGCCAGTTTTCTGAATGTGCAGAAAGACCATGACATCGTGTGCTTGCATGTCGAACTGGAAGTCATCTCTTAGCACTTCTTCATAGCTGAGTCCCGCTCCGCCGATAACCGCAGAAGTCCTTACCGCAGGTGGGCCACGGCGGGGAGACGTCAATGCTCCGCCGCCCAAACCGTATAAAGCCAGCTCATCGTCGGGCGAAAGGGGCGTCGCGTCTATGAGCGCCGGATCACGCCTGCTTAGGGCGCAGACCTGAGAGAATAGGAGATTTATAAGCAAATATGTTAGGTAAATATCATGAGCAAATATGTGATGAGCTGTTTGATATTGCGTCACTGGGGGGGGGGGGTGTATGGGGTTTCACATGTTGAAACTACGAACATAGGTGTAATTGAGTTTGGTGATATCATTTACCGCCGTAAGACAAATATAACTCTATTTACTCAGTTTTATGATCCATATAGTACGTTTAATATTTACTATAAAATTAGTTAACGCCATCACAACCTTAATTTAATCTTACTAGTTTAACAGTCCTATTATATTTACAAAATATATAAACAATTTTATCTTTTTAGCACATATAATAAATTATTCAATACTCCAGACTGATGTAAAGGTGAGAATAACAAGAGAATCAGACACTGAAAATTAGATTATCAATAATCATTATTATATATGTACTAGCAAACCCGACGAACTCCGTTTCGCCACCAGATGGTTTCGTGAGAAAGATAAAGAAATTTTTTGTTTGTTTTATATTTTAAAAGGAAAAATTTGATTTTATTATACAACAGTTCGAATTTATTTTGATTACAAAAATGAAGTGTTTTCTAGTTGAGCTTCTCTAAGTAAATGAAAGTGAATCCGCAAATTATCCGTTTCATGGAAGTGATCTTTGGTAAACCACATTTTTTGTTTTTTGGTCTAACGTTAACACAAACAAAGTGGATGGTTTTCCAACTCGTGAACAGGCAACGTATAACTGCCCATGTGAAAAACAATAATTTTCTAAATAATCTATTTGAAATTTATCCCGCAAACACTAAGCGATTGGCCTTGCGACATGTTATTGCGAACGCAAGGCGAACTGGATATTGCAATCGTTTGAAGTCAAACGGAAGACCAGTCAGAATCATTGGTATGTCATCAAATCGCCAGCAATTTTTTATTGAATGGTGAAATTCAAGGCGTGTACATCATTATTCTTTGCGGCAAGAATTGCTCGTTGACTTAACCAAGCATAATTCTGATAATTCTCACTAATGTCATTACTCGAATTTTTAATTACGGTGCGTGAAGTTCCAGCAACTTGCATTAAGACACGATGCCATGCACCACTAATTTTCTTAACTATAGACATTGCGGAGCCCGAGTCCTTTCCAACGAATGCAAAATTGTCGAAATCGGTTCGTGCGTTCTGGAGTTATTTCGTCAGGAAGGAAAACCCGACTTATTTTTATATATATAGAAGATATTTGCTAGCATCATACGAAAATAAATTACAAGATCTCTAAAAGGTTATCCGAGGTCAAAGTGCAAACATTCAAGAATAACAAGTCTCTCTAAGTAACCAGGTGTGAAGTATGAATAGAGTACTTAATGAATCAACACTTTTTTACCCATGGCACTATAGAAGCTTGAAAACTTCTTATGCACTAACGAACGAAAAAAAGCGAGAAAAAATAACACGCTTTTAGTTGATGGATTTCCCCCTAAATTCTAAAAATAGCGAGTCACCGCATAAGATAAAGAGATTTCCAACATAAAAATGTAACATTAAACATATTGCGCCTGAAATTCTGGCGAATGTAATTTCCTGGAATTATTTAGATGGAGGAAGGAACAAATGAAATGCGAACGAGTCTTTTCATCGTTGTCATTATTTGGCTAGACGTTTGCACGAACATAAATAACCGCAGTACAACAAAAACGCAGTTACCAGAATCCGCTACGCGATTCCATCCGCGGCGTAGACCGACCAAAAACAAATATCTCACTTATACAGGGATGATAAAAGTCTCAAATAAACACATTGTTTATCTTTTAATTTATATTTTCATCATTGCAAATACTTTCTTATATACTAGGTTGGCAATTAAGTAGGTGCAGATTTCTTATAGAAAATCAAAGACATTTGTTTTATAGAACTTAGTAACTTTATTCTGTAATGTATTGTCAATATTGATCGTCGTTACGTAGCATCGTTATTCTAATTTCATAAAATTTCTGGTTTTTATGAGCAAAATACTGAAACAAGTACTATTTACCATTACAATCAAAAGGTGCAAAAACTATATTATGAACGTGGAAACAGATCAACCTAGCCCCAATAATTTTTACTGAGTGACCAAATATATGTGAAATCAATAATTCAATAAATCACGGTTTCAATTTGTCAGTTTAGACCACTTTTCTCCAACTGCCTTGTTTAATTTCAAAAATTGTTCAAAGTAGACATCAGAATTGATTGTTCGGTTGAGTAGTAAGAGTAAAAGTAGACAATTCCTTAGTAATTCAACTGGTCGAACAGAGAGTTTTTCATCTTTGAGTGAAAAATAACCTGAACGAAATTTGACAAACCAATTTTTGTACTGCCGTTTCTAAGGCTTTATCACTATATATAGCTCATAACATTTTGTGTGCTTGAGATGTATTTTTTTAATATGACAAATTTTTCAGTTTGATTTTCCATCTTCCACCTTACGCCAAACAAAAACTACTCAATCGATCAAAAGCTCTTTTCTACTGATAGATGTCTATATTGCCTACTATCCACTAACAAAAGGTAAAACTACTGTAAAATACAAGACATTTTTATATTGAATCACAAGTATAAGTAAATAATTTAAAACAAATATAAGAGTATACATTGGATAAAAAAAGCAGTTGAGCTATTGATTCGATTATTACAACCCCCAAACTAAATATCCGGAATAGAAAGCTGCTACGTTCAAATAATATTGTTTTCAACCCTGTTATCCCGGAAATGTAAAATATTCTATGAATGATCGTTCCGTACAGAGTAAACAACTTCCCGTTTATTTAGAACGAATGCGTACGCTCGCTTATACGTATGTAATTCTGTACAAAGTCAACAAGTTTTCTCATAAGCTCCAAAGATATCCAAGTTGTTTGTTATCGTAGTTTCTGTTTAAAGAACATGATTTACTAGTATCTTCTTATAAAATCGCTTTTAGTGGATTTTATTTCGCTACATTTATTTGCTGATAGAAAATTCGACTCGAGAAAAGTTTACAGAATACTTTCTTAAATATTTGCTTTTACAGATGCATGAGATTGTTTAAACTTCACGCTTCAATAAACAATAACATAATATTATTTGTTTGTTATTGAATTTTCTGTTTAAAAAACATGATTTACCAGTATATTACTATCACATCATTTAGTTTACTACATTTATTTGCTGAAAGAAAATTCATCTTCAGAAAAGTTTACATATTATTTTTCATTTGAAGACATTTGAAAGATGCTATTGATGTTTCAAACATTTGAAAGACGCTCTTGAAGCATTTTTTCGTTTTTAGTATTATATATTTATTTCTCTATTTACTAAAAGATAATTCGACTAACAAAAAGTACAAATTATATATCATTCAATAAATGTTATTTATAATTATAATAATAAAAGATACATTACATAACATAGAAACTAGCATTAAATTTTAGTGCCAAAATTAATGGTAAAGTATAATATATAAAAAATATTTATTTATTGAACATACTAATTTTACATAAAACGAATTTTCTTAAATTACTGTAAAATCGTAATGGTAAAATTTCTAAATTTCTTTTTAGGGGTCGTCCAATTTTCACTCGAGGCTTAAAAGGAGGTTGGGGTTTGAAAAATGAAATATCACGTGGGGAGAAAAGGGTCTAGTAAGATATGACGTGTATTTATTTTCTACCTGAATTAAAAAAAATCCAAAATTATTTTAAAAAATCCAAAAAATTAACGATACACAAAATACACGTGACATAGCTTGGTGGACGGTTCATCCAAGGGGAAGAGGAATAGAATATCCTTAAAAATCTATCACCTGAAATGGATTCTTCCTTAGCATTATCAGGGACCATTTAAATGCAAAAGTTGGAACCTTATGATTTACATATAATTAGTGCATTTTTTTTTAAAGCAATCCAACAACAATTCTTGGAATAATTTATAATTTTCTTTGCAAATATTTGTTACATGATATGACGACACATGTGTTAAAAACTGCACTTACATATTTTCATAAGATTTTGCAAAAGTAAGTAAAAAATATCTCTGTCGATAAAAGCGATTGTCAATATAATTATGGAAAATAAATATAGCCAAGACGGAAGTCACTAATGATGATAAAATTAAACGTAAATTGTTGTTATATTTTTAACTAAATACTGAAAATATGTGACCAATATTTGTCTGACATGATCTCAACTGAGAGTAACAGAAATTTATAGTAATTTGTAGAAAGTGTTGTTTACTAAATTCAGAATGAAAGCACTTGTAATGAAACCTGACTACAATAACGATCCACAATTCTATTTCAATTTGCTTCAAGAAATTTATAAAATTTTGTTATATTTTTAACTCCATACTGAAAATATGAGACCAACATTTTTCTGACATGATCTCAACTGAGAGTAACAGAAATTTCTAGTAATTTGTAGGAGAAGTGTTATTTACTACGTTGAGAATAAAAGCATTTGTAATGAAACATTTCCTTCGATCACGATCCACAATTCCATTTCAATAGGTTTCATTAAAACATTTTCTATGATAGAATTATAAATGCAATCACGGTAAGCTTCTTGAGCAATTACGTTGTACAATACTATTAATTAAAGGAATGAAAATCTGTGTCCCGCTGTTGTCCCATCGAATGAACCCTTGAATGCGAGCTTATTTGCAACGAAATAATTAAAGAAGAGAGCCGGAAGGAACGGCTTCGGAGTACGCATACAAAAAGGTATATATACTTTCTTCTAGGTTTGCTTTGGAATAATTAAAAGCTCGTAATTTAAAGCCCGTTGTTTACTGTTTCAAATTCACTTGCTATTGTGGAGTGATAAATGCGTCGAGCATATTTATGACTAAATTCCTGATAAGAATACATTAGGACCTTTTCATTGTAATACATGGGATACTAAGGTACAAATTGACAAATGTTAAAGATAATGAAAAATAATTGCATCACAGTACAATAAAATATTACTGATATCTTTATAAAGCAACAGCATATTTC